TGGTCCTGTGGGAACCTACCGGGCAGCGCCCCAGCTGTTCTGTCCCAGGCTCCAGATTCAGCAGCTGTTGAAACTGATCAGGCTGATTCCAGGAAGCTGGGGGCAGAGCAACTCTGCCTCCGGCTTCCTGTAGTCAGCCCCTGGTCAGTTTCAGTGGCAGCAGCTGAATCTGGAGCCAGTTCCGACTTACATACAAAGTCAACTTAAGAACAAACCTATAGTCCCTATCTTGTACGTAACCTGGGGACTGCCTGTATTAGGTTAATCTTACATTGTAGTTAAATTCAAAAAGTGATCTTGTGCTTAAAAGCTTAGAGGCCACTGATTTAAGGGCAACATTCAAGTTATACCTTGAATTAATTTTGCAGTAAAGACAAGCCCTAATCTAAGTGTTGTTAATTAGGAAGGCTTAAAAAAAAAAAAAAAGAGAGAGAGTGGCAATAAACATCAGGGTTCAACAGCAATGAAGGCTTCCCTCACCCCTGAATATCTGCTGAAGACCATCACACAGGAGGAGTAGAAAGAGAATTGTTACCAGTATATGTCTATCAGAAGTAATTTACATTTTTGGATCAATGAGAAATTTGGCTTGGCAGTAAGTGAAACTAACATGTAATCATGGCTATTTATCTTTGTTATAATGATAGCTCAGAGAAGCCAACCATGTTGAGGTCTATGTCATAGCCACTGTAAAAACAAAGTAAAAGGGCATTGTCTGTACTCAGGAATGTATAGGCTAAAAGATTAGCATAATAATTCTTAGTACTTGCATGGAGTTTTACATCTGGAAATTTTACATTGACTAAATTATTCCTCCTGCTCCCTCCCACCAACTTACAAATGGGAAAAATTAAGCATTAAAGCCTACTAAGGAAGTGGGCACTGGAGCGGAATTATACTTCAGGAGTTCCTGGTTTATAGTTCTCACCATTAAACCATGTTGTTGTCATAAAAAAGTTTTCCCTGGCCAAAGTTAAGGGTTTATTTTCATGTAATCCTGACAGGTACAAAAAGATTGATGCTTTGAGGTCAATTTTAAAAGTCAAAACAAAACTTCCCACACTTCAAAGCTTTCAAGCTCATTGCTATGAAAACAGAAAACAGCATCCAAAAGTGACAGGTACTGTAATATTTACAAGCTTCTGCCAGAACAAAGTTCCTTAACTTGGATAATTTGAGGAATGAGATTTCATTTATGGGTACATGGGAACAACTTTGGCCTTGCCTTATGTTCCCACCCATATTCTTGAAGCTCACAAATAACTCTTGCTTTCAGTGAATATATTAAAAAGGACATAGGATTCCATCTCACTTCCATGTATCTCTTTATTGGTTTGCTGCAATGTTCCTGCCTGTTACATCACACATACGGAGAGGCGGCAAGAGAGAAATCCTTATAATTTCTTTTACTTCAGTGCTTAAAAGAATCAGGTAGATCAAGACAGAATGAAAGAGGAAATAAAACGCCTTTGTGCCCCTTGATACTTCAGAGTGGTCCTGAGTTGCTGACTTGAATGACAGTAAGCCCCCAATCCTCCACACACGACCATCAAGGGCAGGATTCTTGCCTGCGGATTCCTCTGGGGCAGACCTTTAACTCAGTGGAAAAGCAGCTCTTTCCCATCCCCAGATTAAGACCCAAGTCCAGCCTGAAGCACAGAAAGTTACGTCTCAGAATTAACAGCTTACACTGCAGATTTTAAAAGTGGTTGTTCTGTGTTTATTAAAAAAAAAAAATCAGCTGCTAGTCACCAATTACTGTCCTTTCTGGGGATGCACACATGCTCCACAGCTTTCTGATGAAAGCATCCTGAGTTCTCCACCAAAGCTGTTATCAGAGGAAAAGCAGGCTCGTCACAGCTGCTCAGCATCAGAACTCTAGCAAGACAGTATGCAAATTTAACGTATGATGGCTGATCTCACCCCTGGTTCTCATCAGCATGAAAACTGAAAGACCCAGTGTAGCCAGACACAAAACCCCATCTTGTTTTTCCACGAGCCCCATCTTGTTTTACCCCCCCCCCCCCCCCCCCACCACCACAGAGGCCTGCCTCTCCCCCATCTCTGCGGTCCCGGCGCTCTTCTTAAATGTCCCGCTCTCCCGGCAGGTGACATCATCACCCGGCGCCTCCTCCTTAGCGCGCCTGGTGCTTATGGTGCCGGCATTGGCGTCTGCCATGGCCCCGGCTGCTCCCCCGCATGCAGTCGGCGCGTCTTCCCCTGATGCTTCTTGGCCAGGAGGCCCTTCTGCCTGGGGTCTCCCTCACCCCTCTCCAGTGCAGGGTTGCCTCACCCCGTCACAGTAGGGATGGTCTCAAACTAGCCCCTTGCAGTGTCCTGTTTTCCCTTTGGGAAATATGACCACTCTGTCACTAGATCACTGGTGTTTTATCTCTAAAAATGTTCCAACCTAGAGCAATCATTTGAATGACCTTTCCCATTGCTTTCTGCAATCACTAAGCAATCCCATCAGTAGCAGCCAAGGGGAAAGTTGGCTTGGGTTAGGACTGAGCAGTGCATGCTGGGATCTATGGAATCTATAGTCTCTGCAGACCACATTACTTCATTAAAATAAAGATAGTCATATTATGCAGCTCTTTCTGGCAGATCGCTATTACAACCTTGAAATGGGCAAAAAAGCCACTACAGAGAATATCTTATTGCCTTTATGTAAAACTATGATACGCCCAACTATAACAGATGTGGTTGCCTCTCTCAAAAAAGATATATTGGCATTGGAAAAGGTTCAGAGA